TAGCTATCAGCCCTGTAAACTTGTCCTTTCCAGTTTTTATCAGATCTGCCCCTTTATTTCCTTTTCCTTGGCAATGTTTCTGATCCAAGTGCTTATTACCTCAACTCAAATTAATGAAAAGGCTTTTCATGTTTGCTTTCTACCTCCAGGAGGCAGATGACACATCACTTCCTGATCAATCCTTCTCAATGGCCAATTTAATCATATCTTATTCTTCTCTCCAATAAGAATAATATTTGGGATTTGTGGGATGCTTGAAAATCCACAAAGCACTTTCATATTCATAAATCTCTTTGATCTTCACACCAAGCCTGTTAGGTGAGCTGAATAGGTATGGACATTGCTGTTTTGTAGATGAGGAAGCTAAAACTTGCAGAGGCACTTGCCTGGGGCTGTACAAAGCTACCAGTTGGAACAGATGTCCAATCCCAGAGCAATTTCCATTACACTGTTCTGTCTAGGGTAACTGCATGTTGCCTAAATGTAGAAATTACTTTAAGTACCCTCAAGGTCTATTGGAATCAAGTCCAAATTTACACTTATAAGATTATGTCTCATGGCTATCCTACAGAAATCTTCTGATCCAACTGCATTGATTTACTTATTGTCCAAAACTGTGCAAGGCACTCTTTATTCCTATTGTGAGCTTCTACTAAAAGTCATCTCCTATTCAAAGTCTACTTACCTACCTTTTAAAATGCAATTCAGTTTACCTTCACCATGAAGCTTTCCAAAACCATTCCATTAAAAGTCAATAATTTTTTCACGTTTAAACTCAGTGTGATTTATTTTTATTTTTTTTATTTTTTTACTACTAATTCAGTCTTCATCCCCTTCTGAGGCAATACCCTTCTGGAGACTCCATTTGATGACCATGTGTATCAGGTGACCTTCCGCTCACTGGTGAGAACACAAATGATTTCCAGCCCTGTGTGAGCTCTGGAGATCGTTTTGCTTGTTCTTTTCCAAAACTTCTTTTTGTATTTAAAGGTCATTCTTTATTCCCTTCTGGAATGAGAACAACTACTCCACTAGTTCTTTCCTGACTCTTGGTAGTGTCTTCATATCCATGTGATGATCAACACTCGATTGAAGTCTAGTAGCAGAACCCTCTACAGCTTTCTAGAGTTCTCTCTATGCAGTTATCTCACCTCCGGTGTTCTGCTTTGTGAATTCTAGCCACCTTCATCTTCTCAGACTCTGAACTCTTGTCTTCTCAACTCAGGGAACCTCCTGGGCTGTTTGGTTCCCCATTCCTGTGCTACCGCCTAGACATGCTCACTGAGCAGCAGCTGGGAAAATGAAGGACTCACCTGTTTCTCTTAATGCAAGGATCACTATTCTGAACAATTGCTTCAGTCTGAACCACTGTTTCCTATATCTTGTCTGATTGCTTTAGTTGTTTAAAGGAGAATAAATCCAGTCCCAGTTACTCTCATCATGACAGGAGGTGGACATTCTTAGATAGCATTCTGAAATGTAAAGATTGCTATAGAAGTTAGAGTAAAAATAAACCTTTCTTATTTGGAAGTGTTAAAAAAAAGAAAAAGAAAAACACTAAACAAAAACACAACAAAAATTAAAATTTATCCTTTCCAAAAATAAGCCCTTCTGTGATGATATTTAGTTCAAAGCAGAAAAAAACAAAATGTATCGACTCATTAAAGTGAAATCTTTAATTTATACACATATAAGGAGGTAATTCAATATTTTAGAGGTAACTTACCTAACCTCTTTCAAACTCATTTTAATTTTTTAAAGATCACAAAAACCACTGTTTCAGAAGCCAGAAATATTTTCTGATGTTCTATTAAAATATAAGGCATTTCTCTATTTGTGTGGTTTAGTCTCAAAAAAGAAAAGTGGGATTGGCAACACAAATATGTTTGTAGTCAGAAAGAGAGAGGAAGAGAAGAATAATTGATCTGAGCATGCTAGTACTTTTTTTTCCCTACATGCTCCACTTTGTATTGGTAAGACCAGATAATGAGTAGCACTTTTTCTTTGTAACAATTCATTAATCAGAGAAATGATCCTTGCTAGTGTTTAGATGTTTTACTTAATTTGGTACCTCTGGCCTGCTGCCCTACTAGTGCCAAAATTATTATTTCTCACACAGCAGGTGATAAATAACAACTTCAGTCGTGATTAATACCATGAATCCTTCAACCTGACTAATGCAAAAAAAAAAAAAAAAAAAAAAAAACTTGAGACCTACAGAACAAGTGGGTGATAATTGTTGTGAGAACTGTGGAAGCTCTGCTCAGCTTGTGAGGAATAAATCCACAGGAAATGGAGCGTTTGCTAGCAGTCCAGCTGATCCTAGGAGGCTTCATTAAGCCCATCTCAGCCACATTCACCATTTGAATGCCAGTGTTAGCCTTTTCTCTCTCCCAACACTAAATTTTAAGTATCATCTGAGAAAAGAAACCACTAACTCATTTTTGCATACATTTAAATATTTATTGAATGGATAAATGAATGGATGAATAAATAATAAATGAGAAAATAGAATTCTTGCCTAAGTACTTGTCATTGTCAATATGGGTCATTTGAGAGCTACATATGGTTATTTCTCTAATAACGCAACTGTGCACAAAAAAGTAGTTTTGCTAAAGCCCATAACACTATTAACATTCTCTGCTGGCAAAAAGAAAACGGTTAGTGATGGCTAGTAACTAAGGCCATCATCTTAATTATTATCACAGCAATAGATATCAAGGTAGTATATGAGTAGTCAATTAGGCAGATGGTAAAGGAATATGTATTGTTTGAAGAGCTTCTCTGGATATTCCTTGCCCCCTGAAAAACTTCTTTAAATGGTACAATAATATTTTAAGTCAATGGATGGTGGTCAACCAGTTGAATATGATTTACAGGTGTGTTTGTTTGGCAGACAAGTTGTTTTGAATTTCTATGTTATTTTAATGCTTTAGGTGGAGAGATGCATTCTCCAGTTTGGCACAGCCCCCACTATTCCTATTGTCTTAATATCCAGTCTGTCTCCCTCTAATCACCATATGCCTGACTTCTCAAGTAAGTTTATGATCCCTGACTAAATGGGGTGGTGTTAAATACTGACAACCAAGGTTGGGGGCCCGGGGAGATGGAAAATTAGCTTGGATTGAGATATGTGGCTTTTTGATACAAGGTGGGTCAAAAATAGGTTTACAGTTGATGTTGTAAACCTCCTTTTGCCCCCTCCTGTATATCCAGAGATTTTTCAAGAATCACAAATTATGTAAACATCAATTTCTTCAGTTAAAAAATATTTTACTTCATGGTGGTTTAATTACGTTTACTTGATAACTAAAAAATCTTTTTGCCTAATCCAAAGTTCTAAAGATTATCTCCTCATTTTTTAGAAGTGTTATTGTTTTAGCTCATACATCATTTAAATGTATAGTCCATATTGAATTAATTTTAATGGATTGCAGGTTTCGGGTCTGATTCCCAGTCAGGGCACATACCTACGTTGCCAGTTCAATCCAGGTCGGGATGCATATGGGAGGCAACGAATGTATGTTTCTCTGACTCTTCCTTCCTCTCTCTAAAAAACCAATAGAAAGTAAGGATTAAGTATACATATATGTAAACCTGTTATAAAAATTGTGCGAATATTAAGTGTATATATATATATATATATATATATATATATATATACATAAGCCTGTCATAAAAATTGTGCAAAACCAGCTAACTTGGGATGTTTTTATTTTAATAATAATATACATTACAAAATTAGTTCATGGAAGCTATAATAAACAGCACTGTAGTCCAAAGAGAGAGCCCAAAGTTTATGGGGGATTTATACTAAGGAGACTGTAATGTGCGCCTTATAATGTATAGATTTATAATCTTCAAAAAAATAAGTATAGTGTTCCTTAAAGGCCAAAGAGCTGCTCGACTGCCTGCGTTTGAATCCCAGCTCTACCACTTATAACTCTATGACCTTGGGCAAGGTATTACCCTTTCTGTCTCCATTCCTCTTTTTTGATTTGGGGATAATAACCTTTGCAGTGTTTTTGTAAGGATTAAATGAGTTAAAAATGCGTGCATGGTACCTAACAACACAAAAGTAGTATTATTATAGAAATTATTTTTACATCTGACTCTTCATAGCATCCCTGGTGTTATGTAAAATATTAGAAAATTTGAAAAGGATACAACATATAATACTTAATGCTTATATATACTTCTGTGAAAACTATCTTCTCTTCCCCACAAAAGGAATAAAAAAGAATTATTTAAATATTATCTCAAAGTGTAAAAAAAAAAAAAAAAGGTCCTTGAAACTATCCCTTTATCAATATAAATTATAGCTGCTCTGATTAAATGTTTTTAAATTTAATTAAGTTTATTTTTATTCCTTTTCATTGAATTTATTGGGGTGATACTGGTTAACAAACTTATAGGTTTCAGGTGCACAACTCCACATCATCTGTACACTGTATTGTGTGTTCACCACCCCAAATCAATTAACCTTAGACATGAAGAATGTTTTTAAATGGTCATCTGCTCAAGGCTTTAATCACCTTGTAATCATTCACATTTTCCAAGAGTATACTTATTAGGAACATTTTTCCTATGACCAGGTTTACCATGTAGCTAGCAAACTAATAATGGGCATAGGAACACAAATAATTTTCCTGAGAAAAGACATTGCTTACTCCATGAATAAAGCTCAGAAAGTGGCTCTCAGGAAGACCAAGTAAATACAGAAGCCATATAGTTGTTTAAAGTTTATTTTTATGTGCATACAAGTTTCAAGAAAACAAAATTTTCAAGATATAGAGTATGACATATCAAATGGATTCATTAGAATTATTTCAATTTGTACAGAAACACCAGTATAAAGTACATGTACAAGATACATTATATAATTTTTTGAGGTTTCAAAAGCAGTGTTTTGGTTTTAAAATGTTGATACCATTCACATATCATTCAAGTAACATATTTCAAGTTAAAATTTTTAACAACAACTAAATTAACACATAACTCTAGGACAATCTAAGAGATGAGCTGCCTTTAGCACGATCTTCAAAATAGTGCTGTTCAATTCTTCTACAAAAAGCAAGAAGGTTGCTATAGTTTTTCACCTTCTCAGAAAGTTCATCATTGGTCAATTGTGTGGTAAGAATGGTGTACAGATGGCCAAATACCAGTGCATCTAGTTCAGTAGGCCTAAAACAAAAGTAGAAATGAGAGTAACATAGTGTTTAACTTGTATGGTAGGGTATATACTATTTTTAAAAACCTATTATTCATCTATTTAAAAGAAAAACTCACAGAAAGAAATTCTACCCAACTTGATAGAATTTATTGTTTTAACTTAGAGTTTGTTATATGAAAAATAATTTTAATTATGATTTGCTAGTGTGTGCCTTGCTTTTTGAAGTAGTAGTATTATTTTAATGTGTTAAAATAATATTGGTATGATTGATTATATTCATCTTATTCATTAATTTGTTCGCTAGATAAATATAGCATGTCGCCAATGTGCCAGAACCTTCCCTGATGCTAGAGAGATAAAAACAAGAAAGATATTCTAAGACATGGACACAAATTAAACAACAGAATTTAGTAAATGTGTGAATAGATGCATAGACAAAATGTTGACAAAGCACAGAGGATTTCACTGCGGTGCGGGACAACAAAATGATACTTGATTACCTCATTTTATTTTGTTTTTTAAATATATTTTATTGATTTTTTACAGAGAGGAAGAGAGAGGGATAGAGTTAGAAACATCGATGAGAGAGAATCATCGATCAGTTGCCTCTTGCACACCCCCTACTGGGGATGTGCCCGCAACCAAGGTACATGCCCTTGACCAGAATCGAACCCGGGACCTTTCAGTCCGCAGGCCAACACTCTATCCACTGAGCCAAACCGGTTTCGGCCAATATATCATTTTAATTTGGCCATTTTTAAAGTGATTTAACTTTAAAAATGAAGGTGGTTTCAACAAAAATTTTTCCAGGGGGTTTCCCTATAAAAAAAAAAAATGAAATTTATCTACCTTACGACTACTGGTCTACATTATATCAAGATAACCATGATAATTATGAACTAACTAGAGGCTCGATACACGAAATTCATCCAAGAGTAGGCCTTCCTTCCCCAGGCTGCGGGCACTGGCTTCCTTCTGGCACTTCTAATTAGCATATTATGCTTTTATTATTATAGATTACTGCTATTAGTCCTATAGTGATACAAGTTTTTGAGAAAACATGTGTTAGTCTACCTAAATTGAAAAAATATTATAGTAATCTGGTTTGGCAGGATAGATTTGGGGGGTGGGGGAGGCTCCTATCAAATCTAAATCCTAAAGCTACTAACTTACTTACTAGCTATGTGGCCTTAATCACTATTGATAAATGAGCTCATGCAGTTCCATGGCTTTAAGTGCCTCTTTATGCCACTAATTCCCAGATATTTATCTCCAGTTCTAATCTTTCCCCTAAACTCCAGAATCATATATTCAATGAATCAATAAAAAGGTGATAACACACTAAAACGGTATCTAACCCTTCCCCATTATACTTCAAGTTATTTAAAGGTAACACTGCACATATCTTGATATCCCTAGTTCTTAGTAAAATATCTAAGGAACTGAATCTGTATTTGCTGAATGAAACAAAAAGAAAGCATCTTGCCTAAGTTGTGTAAAATACTTAATTTTTCAAAGTCTCTTTCTCTCTTTTGACATATTCATGAAGTTTTCATAAAAGCCAGATGCACAGCTGATAGCCATGTTTAAGAGGGAATACAATAGGATGGTTTAAAAAAAAACAAAAACACAAGTGTCCTTGGACTTAATAGAAACATAATTCTATCACTATAAATGGACTATCAAGGGGGTGAGGGCAGGAAGAGATTAACCAAAGAACTTATATAAGCACTAGAAGCCCAGTGCACGGATTCAAGTACCAGTGGGTTTCCTTGGCCTGGCCTGCACCCTATCGCAATCTGGAATCCCTCAGGGGATGTTGGAGAGCCAGTTTTGGCCTGATCACCGTAGGCCAGGCTAAGGGACCCCACCGGTACATGAATCCATGCACCAGACCTCTAGTATGCATATAAGATCTTTGGTTAATCTCTTTCCCTCCCTCCCTTCCCTCTGAGATTCATCAGTCTAATCCATGTTTCCACACCTGTAGTTTCCTCTCCTGCATTGAGCGTCTACCCCCTGGTGGTCAGTGGACATCATAGCTACCAGCTGGTCAGCCGGTCATTTACGCTTTTATATATATAGATAGCCCATGGACACAGACAATAGTACAGAAGGCCTTGGGGTGTGTGTGTGTGGGGGGGGGGGGCTTAATGCTTGGAATAAAGAGGACAACTGTAATACTTTCAACAATAAAGATAAATGTTAAATATATTACCCCCCACCCCGAAAAAAAAAAACAGATCTCTAGAAAGAACCAAGGATGTAGATCAAGCATGTCAAACTTGCAGCCAACAGGCCACAAGCCTCATTTAAATAAATTGTAGCAGGTGGATAAATGTAGAGCCTTGGCACTTTGTGAGAAATAGTATAAACATCAAAACTTCCATATCCCTAAACACATTTCTCAAAAGATACATCTTAGCTTACCAATGCAAAATTTATTTTTCTAATCCTTTTTTATGGTGAACTACCCTTTGCTTCTTAAACTAGAGCCAAAAAAATATATTCCCTAATGCAACTCCCAGTAGTGTAGATAGCATCCTTATCAATAAATGCTCTGAATGAGTTGGAAGTATAAATGTATGTTTAACCTAGTATGGTCTAGAAATGCCTCTGAAGTGTTAAAAATGTTCTTAGTTCCAAATATACGTCCACATAACTCAAAAGGTGCAGAATTGCATATGGCTAACAAACATACAAAAACTGATCTGAAATTACATAAAAATAGCTGCTTTGTGGCCAGTTATTCTAGAACAAGCATGTCAAACTCAAAGGCTAACATGGTCCAAATAAACAATATTTAAGCTTATGAAGGCCACAAAAAAACAAAAGCTTCAATTTTCATAGAAACAGGTTTATTTCAAAAAGTATAGTATAAAAAAAGACCAAGAGCAATGATAAAATTAATGTTTTCTTTCTGACATTCGGCATCTCTTCTCTGCTACTGTCTTTCCTGCTTTGGGAGAAATCTTGTTCACAGTGATTACTTTCAAAACTGACCCAAGGTGAATGTCAGTCATTCTGGGTCTGACAGGAGATTTATTTCCTTTTATATCTGTAAATAACTGTTCATACTGTTATATTGGCTGGGCCGCAAATATATTCGTTGTGGGTTGCATGCAGCCCATGGGCCACGAGTTTGACATGCATGTTCTAAAACATCTCACAAGAAATAGAATACAATATACCAAGTCAAACAAACACACACACACACACAAACTAATGCACATCTGTTGCCATCCTTACAAATTTCAGCAATTACTTGTATTTATTAACTCTGACATATATAAATTACCAATTTTCTCAAATCTTTCTTCTTACAAAGTATTCTTACAGCAGTGATTAACATAACTATATACTATTACTAAAACTCACAGAACTATGCACATAAAAGTGTCAATTTTACTATATGTAAATTATATAACAATAAACTTAACTTTAAAAAAGCAACAAACTCAGAAAAATGTTTGCAACTCATATGCAAGACAAGCACAAAAAATACATTTTACCCAATATTTCTACTGTATTATTTAATTAAGCCAAGATCCTTAAGTACTTTCCATTTTAATTACCTTTCCTATATCATATGGACAGGAAACATAATATTTGCACCCTTCTGTTTACTAAGTAGTTGGTGAGTTGTAATTTGGATATAGATAGCAATTCTCCTACTAAGACTTTTAACATCTTTCACATATATTATTGCATTTATCTTTGTAGACTTTTTATTAGAAAGATATCCCAGGGTGACAAATACATTTTTAAAGTCCTAAGCAATTTGTTGCCTTCTTATTATTCTTTCCACATTTCTGATGGTTAGCTACTCTTCTTTCATGTGAATATTAAAATAAAAACAGCACTGCAAATGTGAATATTTTCCTAACATCCCACATTTAAATTGTTTGCACTCATCTTTTTTGCTTTACTTATTATGATTCCATACTTTTCTTTCTGTCTCAGTCAGTCTAGTTTCAAAAAGATAAATTTTGTCTGAGTGTTCCTTAATCTTTCTTTCCAATTACACCACTAACTTGACATGTCTTCAGATAACTAGAAATAACCTACATATCCTTTCTTTAAATACTGGCCACTAATCTTTAGGACAGTCATTCAAGTTTGTAAATCAAGCCCCTTGCCATTAATTTTTTCTATATTTTGCGTTTGGATATTTTTGAGCTATTTTCCCTTCATTTTCTTAACGGGTGATTTCTTAATTGAATAAATCTCAATAAAATCCTATTCCTTCAAGAAACTTTTCTTTTAAGATTCCCAAGTATAATTCTTGCACCATTTCTTCAATATACTTCCCTAACTGTATATAAAGCTATAGTTTCAAATTTTACCATTTACTTAATGGTTACTAGCAATATTTTTTTCTTCTTAAAACCTAACTCCTTTTCCAATTCCTCATTCAACTTAACCTAGCTTTAACCAACTGCTTCTAGCTAACAGACTTTGTTTGGAAAACAGACCTGCAAGGAGGTCATAAATACTCTGGAATACTATAACTCTTTCTTGATTAAAATATTTCTTGATTTAAAATATATATATATGTCTACTATTTCTTCTCCTTTATTAAAAAGAACATATGTAAATATCACTTTAAGAAAAGTTTTATTTTTTCATTCCAAATCTACACTTGAAGGGAACTAATGACCAAGTAGTCTTTGCTTAGGTATCTTAACAGATCACACATCATCAAGACAGCATAGTGCCAATTTTGTTTTTGTTGCATTTCAGAAATATGACTCAAGATACTTAAAAGCTACCAACACTATATAGTTGAAGGAATAAAAATCCACGTTTTAGTATCTACCTTGTATTATTTATAATATTTTTCAAATTCATTTTCTTCTACCTTTCCACCATTTAAGCTTCTTTTTTTTTTTTTTTTTTTAATACATTTTATTGTTTTTGTACAGAGAGGAAGAGAGAGATAGAGAGCCAGAAACATCGATGAGAGAGAGTCATCAATCAGCTGCCTCTTGCACACCCCCCCCCCAGGGGATATGCCCGCAACCAAGGCACATGCCCTTGACCGGAATCGAACCCGGGTCACTTCAGTCCCCAAGCCGATGCTCTATCCATTGAGCCATACCGGTTTCGGCTAAGCTTTTGTTTTCTTTTCCCAATTACTATTCTTGCTGCAAGATCTCCCTCAATAACCCTTTTTCCTTTCTCTCATCAAGTAAAGCTATTGGGCTTCTTTCATGAGCTCTCTCAACAACCCCAGTAGGTAAGCAAGGAGAAAGTTTTATTCTAATTTAAGAGGATAAGGAGAAGACACATAGGAGAGTCAAGTATAGAATTCAGGGCCTCTAACTTAGATTCCAGGACTATATGTCTTGACTTAAGCCAGTTCTCTTTTCACTACTCTTCTAAAGTAAAAGTGCCTGTGATAGATAAAGGAATGAGAAAAGTTTTGCCACAACAAAGTGCAAATACAAGTTACCTTTTCCTAAATGTAATTTTCTTGCATGCTAATATTAACTAAACAGTTAGGTAAAATTAAAATTAAAAACTAAACCTATTCTTTAATCACAACTGTTAAGGAAAAATGTTTATCTAGGTAAAATTATTTCAAATATGTTCCATCCACTGAGCCAAACCAGCCAGGGCTCACAAATATTTCTTGATAAAACAATTTATCCATGATAAAATAAGTTTGTAACCTAACAATATAGACAAGAAACTAACTTTAAAAAAAAAAAAAATTTCTTACTGCTTATTGAAGAAATATGGTTGTGTTCCCAGTCTTTGAGAAAGAGCTTGACAGCACTGGTCAACATCTTCCAAAACCTAATATAGGCAACAGATCCCAAAGAAAAGTATTTAAATTAGCAAAACATTAAAATGTGTCTAAAACTATTTATAATAGAGTTTATAACAAAAATATAAATTTAGGTAATCTTACCTAATAATAAACATGTAAATTGACTGTACCCCTGTTACGCCCACAGCCAACCAGAGTGAGTATGCAAATTAACCCAACAAAGATGGTAATTTGCATACATACCTGGATCATGGGAACTTCCTCGGCACCCAGGTCACTCCCAGCCAGCCACTGAGCAGAGGCTTTGGGCTTAGAAAGGGGTCAAACCTACATTTGGGAGGGCAGGACAGGGAGGTTCCCCTTCCCAAGCCTAAAGCCTGGGGCGGAGGTTTTAGGTTTGGGCAGGGGCCAAGCCTGGGGGCGGGGGGGGGGGGGGAGGTTTGGGAGTATGTGGGGGGAGCTAAAATCAATGGAAACATATCCTCAGGTGAGGATAAAAAGAAAAAGAAAGAAATGTCATATCCTATGAAAGACACATCTTGAAAATGTTTAAAGAAAGTTGTCATTTTTCATGGTGAAGGGACTGGAGTCTGTGTAGATGAAAACACCTTGGCGGCTGCTTTGACTGGCAGTGGCTGCAGCAATGGGGTGATGGGGCTGGCGCCTTCCCCCGATCAGCCCAGTTGCCTCCCACAAAGGGAGGCCAGACTGCTGCTTAGGTCTGCTCCCAACGGGGAGCGGGCAGGCTGGGCTGAGGGACCCTTCCCCAGTGCACGAATTTCATGCACCAGGCCCCTAGTCTTTTATAATACTAGTATATTTAAATTTGACAATAGGTCACATATAAATATAATTTCCTATAAAAGACATACAAAGAAAATTTGAAAGCCAATTTCCTTTAAGTGCAAGTACAATTAAGGATTACTATCAAGAAAGTTTTTACCTTAAAACTCTACTAGTACTCCCTACAAAAACTGTTTTTGTTGAATCCAATGATTTTACAAATATTAAAAAACCTGCTTCATAAAAATGACACTGCTCACCTATCATGAGCAAAAGCATTTCAATTGTTTTTTCACTAGTGGAGGTAGATTTTATTTACTCCATCCCTATTAATTTAGCCAAGGTCCCTTATGGCCAATAGCACACATAAGTGAGTTGTTTGGCTAGAACTGGGGTAGCCTTATAAAAGAGACATTAGCTCTAGCTGGTTTGGCTGAGAAGATAGTGTCAGCCTGCAGACACAAAGGTTCCAGGTTCCGGTCAAGGCTGTATGTCTGGGTTGCAGGCTCAGTCCAACATGCAGGAGGCAGCCAAGCAATAATTCCCACTTATCACTGATGTTTCTCTCTCTCTCTTCCACTCCCTCCCTCTCTGAAATCAATAAAAAAATAATAATAATAAAATAAAATTAAAAAGATGTTTAAAATAATAGATATTAATTAGTCTAATGATATTTAAATTCATGACCTTGATAAGATTTATATTTTTTAATCTTGCTACTTCAGTATATTTAAGACCAAAATATTAAAAATATATATATATTAAGCACTGTATTTAACAGGATGTTTTTTAAGCCCTGATACTGCAGATCAATCTTTGTCATAAAAGATGTCCACAATATATTGTTAAATGGGAAAAACATCAGGTTATAGAGTGGTATAATATGATCCCATTTAAGGTAAATATTATTAAGAGATACCTAGAATAATGTTCTCTAAATAGTTAACAGTGACTATTTCTTGGTGGCAGTATTTCAGGCCATTTTTATTTCCTTTTTATTAACTTTTCTATATTATATAGTTTATTTTACAATCAGCATGTGATTTTTATAAAATTACTTCATGTCAAAGAAAATAAGAGCAAATGTCTGTTAGTTTTGTATTATATTGGGATTTTTTAAGGACTAGCAATACAAAAAAAAAAAAAAAGAATTTAATACTTTAAAGGTTTATCTTAAATGCATTAAGGGTTTGTGAACTTCAATCTGAACTGACCTGGTCCAGAGTCTTGTTACCCCATCCAATAGCTTTCATCTTGCGTTTGACTTCCCACTGTTTCTGATAGGCCAGAATACGATTCAGAGGCCAAGGGTAAGGAGATCCATATCTAGCATGTGTGATCTAAACCAAAAAGATTTTGTTAAAAACATGATTCTTCCTAAAAACAAAGCCTACTTTTCACAAATAGAATTCTAAGGGAATCACTGTCAGAGAACACAAATAGAGCAATCTGAAAAAAACAAAAAAATACAGAGCTTGCAATCTAAAAAATTAAAATTTTAAAACATTCCTTTTAAAAATATATAAACTTTTATGTACTTCGCAACCAGTAATATCAAACAATGACACATAGCTTCCCTAAAATGTATGTGCGAGCAAAATTAAAGTAAGTGGAAAACTATATCACTAATGGTATAAACCACAATGTTTCATTTATGAGCAGGGACTTACAATTCTGAACAAAAGTATCTTCTCATTAAATTTTAATTAAGATAAATGCTACAGAACCACTCACCTCCCCTACTGTAGCTTCATCACACCACTGGAGATACAACTAGGAACAAAAGAAATAGTCACAAAAACTTAAGAATACAAAAAAGAAAATGGATAAAAAGAAAGTTATTTCTTGCCATGGTAATTTTTTTTATAAACCAACTTTATAAATGTCACATATATGAGGGGCTTTTATCTTACATATAAATATAAAATAATTATATATAATTATTAAATTTAATGGTGGAACTTAATAAAAAGATTTCTTATTCATATAGTAATATCTCCAAATGCCATTATTTTACAGATATTATTTAAGTACACTTAACAAGGCCAAGTAAAGGGATAAGTAAGCAAGAATCACTCCTTTTTACAAAAAGAAAAATCGAAGTGAAAAATGTCAGGCAATTTGTTCAAAGATAATGATCAAATAATTTGGGTAAGCATCCTAGCTCTTAAATTGCTTGACTATTTTACTATTTCTCAATAACTTTAAATAACCCATAAAAAAAACATTATCTTTTTGGAGAAAAAAAGCTTATTTTTAATGCCTATTATTTTCTATTATACCTCTGCAGTCAATAGCATATTGTTGACTAATTCCATGTAGGCTTTCATTTCTGCTTTTTGGACTTCATCCAACCCATCACTAAGAGAATGGCCCTAAAGGGAATTTAAAAAAATTTAAGAGCATCATATTAAATATACAAAAACTTTCAGTTATGTTACTACCAAGTAATATAACATCAATCCTTTTACTGCAAATGTCCAATGGATTAATTTCCAAAATATTTCCAAAAAGAAAATTATTTTATATCAAAACTTTATTATATACTCTATGGCTACAATATATTAATAAGTCGTATTTGTCATTATAAAATGATTCAATGGATAAAATTACGTTATCAACTATTTCACAAAAGAAAAAAATAACAATGGTCTATAAACATTGTTACTTTTAGAGACTAACCTAATTAATAATAAAATAAATACCAAAAGATTGACATGCATTACTTACAAATTGGCCAAAGATAAATAAAAGTATAGGGAAATAGATACTAATTTTTAAAATCTACATTATAGTAATGAGTGAATGCATAAAATGATATAACCTTTAGTTCAATCTGGCAATCTATTTTTAAGATTTTAAATATGCATACCCTAACATCACTATATTACTCTTAGGAACTTATTCTAAGGAACTAACACGACTATATTACTTAAGTTCCTTAGAATAAGTTCCTAAGAGTAATATAGTGATATTAGGGTATGCATATTCTAATCTGACAAGTGAACAAATGTGTATGTACAAAAATGTCTTGTAGCATTCAATAACAGCAAAAAATTGGCAACTTACAACTAAGTATCCATCAGTAAAGACAATAAATTATAATATATCTAAATTGTAAAAAAATATACAATTTAAAAGGGTAATTTAAATATATATATGTAAATTTATATATATATTCATTACTATGGAAAAATTTCTAAACATACTGATGATTTTAAAAGAAGGTTGCAAAATAATTAATAATAGTATGATCTATGATTTTCTATATATACAAAGATAAAAGTCAGGAAGGACTTCCCCAAAATGTTAATGGAGGCTATCATTTAATAACTATTAATATCTAAACTGAATAATTCAAATGGGTAAATTAATATATTCAACTTCTAAACAGATCCTATATCTCCCTTCTTAAAGGTTAATTTGACATTTTTCAAAAACCTAAGTTTTCATTCATGCCAAAATTCTCATAAGCATAAGTTACAAAGTTATCTACGATTTTGTAAAAATCAAATTACCTCTTTTACCTATGGTTTTCATTATTTAAAAAACTTGTACTTCAGAAATATTTCTCTAGTAGTTTATACTGGCATTTTCTAAAACTAGGTTAAAATCAAGGTAAATGTTCAAACATGCTTAAAAATGGTGAATAACTTATTTAAGAGTAGCTGTAATCAAATTCATTTGGTGTCTTTTTTATTACCTTAGCTTTAACGAATTGGACTATTGGACCAAGTTCTGATACTACTTGATTTCCTACATGAATAAAAGGTACTTTACCTGTTGGGAAAAAAGAAAAGTGTGAAAACACTGTCAGTATAGGAAAGTTTGTGCTAATAAACATAGGAAACTAACACAAAATTGAGATATGTTTTATTAATACAGAAAACTATAACTTTTGAAAATTATAGTTAAATGTGTATGTTAAGTTCTATAATGTTAAATACTGATTATTTACTAATTTTAAAATAAAAAACAAAAGAAATATTTGAATTGTTTATTTACATAATTCTCACTTACGTATAACAGATCACAATAGTCCCTTTTCAGCACTAACAAATCACTCTATAGTAAATATTAATTATTCAATTTCATGAACCAAGCCCAGAACTGGTTCATGACCACTGATAGATTTCAAAGAAATCGAACTGGGCCTTCTTTTCAATCCATATTTTAAAATACACTTAAGACTTCCTTTTGTGTCTTCTACTTTCAAGTCTGATATTCATTAAGGTCGATATTATTAAGTACATAATGGAGTATTAATAAATGTCTTTGAATCAGAAATTAAGAGAATTAGCAATCCTTGAAAGTATGTTAGTTTATGAATCATAATATCATAATACAAAGTATGCCTAACATATATTGGAAAAAAGAACAAGTAAGATACTTATAAACACTGGCTTTTCTAAATAAATCTCATGTTAAAAAATTATTTCATTCTTATAAGCACTAATATCAAATTATCAGAAATGATGAGAACAAAATATTCTCCAAGTAGCAATAAAGTTTACCCCCAAAACTAGAGAATAAACTTTGCTGTCAGGCCTAGTTCAAACAGAGTTCACATTAACAGCAGGCTTCTTCATGGTCCTTTTCAATAGATTCACTCCTCTCTGGCTCAGTTAGCCTGAGGGTAATGGATGAGGTGCAAAGCACCAACAAAAGCTTCATATGCATCCATAGGATAACACATTACAAAGGAGAGTCAGGCCTCTTAGAACACAACTCAATAGATGTATTTACAAGACATATTCATGTTACCAACATAGAAACACTGAATTCTGCATTCTTTTCTTCTACTGTTTTATAAATCTTGCAATAAAAGAAAATAATTTCTTATTTGGATAAGTATTAGGGCATATTGTTTTTAGTGCAGATCCTTTGAGATAAAATAATCTTAGAATGAAAACTATTTATTTATGAATGCCTAGGGTGAAGGGTATTTCTGGGGTGTAACATTTTGAGAGCAAAGTGTATTTCTCCTTTTCAATAACCAGTTTGGAGTTCTTGGAAGAAATTTCATTTTATTTCTTTTCTTAAAAACATTTTGAGCACTGTAGATTCTGAAAAAAGGAATCAGTGTTAATAAATTAAATATTTATATATCACGAATTATAAAAATATACTAATATATAAAAAGCCAGGGAGTCGTTATGACCAAAACAACCGGATGGCCAACTGAACAGCAGGCTGCGTGGGGCGACAAGGCCGGCAGGGGGATTAGGGAGGGAGGACTCAATGACTAAACAAGCAGTGGAACTCAGATTGGAGAGAATGCAGACTAGGCTGAGGGGACCCCCATCCTATGTACGAATTTCGTGCACTGAGCCTCTAGTGGCATGTGCTCTTGGCTGGAGCAGAACCTGGGACCCTTCAGTCCACAGGCTGATACTCTATCCACTGAGCCAAGCTGGCTAAGGTGCAAAACAGTTTATATCTTATATTTTCTTTTGAAAATGTACTAAAATTTAATCACTCATAAAAGCTGTAATTATTCTTGAATTATTATTATTGTATTATCTTCCCCATGAATATCTGTAAACTTACTTTTGCCCCACCCTCTACAGAGTATTCATATAGAATTTTCAGTGTGTATGGAGAGAGCATCTTCACAGCTTTTGACAATTATTACTACCCTTAAGAACATAAGACAGGGGAAAAAAATGTTTAACACAAGGTAACATTACAATGAAGAGACAGGAAAATATTCCCCTAAAAAAAAAAAAAAATGTAATACACTTGTGCCCATCAGTTATATTCAACAAGATTTATTCATAAAAGTATGACTATATGCTATTATTGTCCCAGCGAAAGCAGTTATAATAATCCATATCAATTCTATTTAGCATTTATCAGCTTTGTGGCCTTATCCTAATAAAGAGCGGGATATGGAAATGTATTGTCACTCAGCCACAACGATGGTGGCACCCACAGCCACAAGATGGTGGTGCCCAGTCCTCTCAGCCCTGCCCGAGTCTCCCGGTCCTGGGGAGCGGCTGCTGAGAGCAGGCAGCGTGAGCAGCAGAATGCTTGCTTTGTCCAACTGGGCCACAGAGGGCCTCTGGGCAGCAGGCATGGAGCAGTGGGGCGGGGGGAATGCTTGCGCCATCGTCCCAGTGACGAGGCAAGCGTTCCACACCTGGCCACGAAGGGCTTCTGGCCAGGCTGAACGCGGAATGCTTGCATTGTTGCAGGCCGAGCTGAGGAACTCCCTACCCTCCCCATGCATGAATTTTATATTAAAAATATCTAATCATCCTTATTTAAAACTGTGCTAATACATGACACATAGAAAAACAGTACTGATTATGAAAAATATCAGAAAGAATAAAATCTTAATAGAAAGTATTTTAAAACTTGTTAAAATGAAAAGAAAAACCAAAAACATTCAGAGATGACATTAAGACCTATGACAAGTTAATTTAATTATTTCACAATTTCTCTTCTTCCATATTTACAATGGAGCAATATAATTTAAAGAAATCTGTTTAATAATAAATGGATCCATCAATATTAAAATTTGTTTTGTGAAGAGGGAACAGTCCTTGTAAAAAGGACTGGCAAAATCTAAGATTTTGTATTTTCCTAAAATCTACTTCTAAAACAATTCCTTAACTTTCCAGTAAATATTTCTGACCACAGAGCTGAAATGCATATACAGGCCCACCACAGTATTGTCAAGTTTGCAATTTTACTTTATAAAACCATAGAGAAATTCTTCAGAGTAAACAAAAAATATAGGCATTTAAAAAAATCTCGGTGCAAATTGGACTAGCACCAAGTTTGTTAATGTATAATAACAGTAGAGAAGACGACACTTACCAGATGGAGACATATATTCTGCATTTGCCCTACAAACTACTTTGATAGGCAGATTACACATTTGCAAAAAGGCCTGTAAATCAAGAGAAATACAGTAAGCCTAGGGAAATATATGCATATTTGAACACAACTTTTTAAAAACTTTTCTAAATTTAATCACATTTATATCTATTGAAAGTGAAAGATTTGTATTCCAAACAAAAATATTTCCCTACTGAAAACCCAGTGTGATGTAGGCACCAGTGAGTATATGAAGTTTAAAGCATTTATACATTTAAGAAAAGAAATGTAAATTATCCACATTTATTTTACTGTATTCATTTATATAAGTCAACAATACTGTACATTGCTTTAATTTTCTTTAATAGATAGCAAAAGTCCAGTTATTATAAGGTATTGTTATTTAATTCTACTATTCTTTTTTGTCTTAGGATAAAGTTCTCAAAATGTTATTTCTGCTATTTTAAAGTTCTCTCCAATAATACTAAATATCCTAACATGTAGTTTTTATGCTCATTAATCACTTACTAAAGATATAGTTTTACTTTTACTTTGTTTAAAGTAACGAAGATTTTATAAGCAACTTAAATATCTAACAATAGGAAATGGGTAAATTATTTATGATAAATCCAAATCATGGAATATTATACAATTTTAAAAATCACACTTTTAAATAAAGAATATTTTATGACAGGAAAAATACCCACATTATAATACTAAGTGAAAAAATATAAAACTGTATTGATGATATATACTAATTCATTTTTAAGTGTTTTTAAAACATCAGTAAACTTTCTACCAACATACATGCCTTCTGTTAGATTCTCTCCACTGTTTTTTATAACACTCAAAGGTTACTCCCCTTCTTCTCTCTTCTATGACATGTAGGTTTCTTTTTCTCCACTCACTATATTTACCTATGTTCTTTCTATAAAAATGTTCAATTAGGATAATCATCCTATATAATAAAAGGCTAATATGCAAACTGTCCCCTCTACTGGGAGTTTGACTAGGGGAGGGGGCTGGCCTGCCAACCACCAGAGCCTCTCCCCCCAGCCAGCTGTGGCCCCTCCCCCTGGCTACCCCACATCAGCCTCCCCACCCCAATCAGGGGCAGGGCCAATCACTGGCCTCCAGTATGCCCTTGTCCCCTCCCCCCACTACACCCCAATCTAGACAGGCTAGCCCGACATCACCTATCCACAAATTGCTCAGGTCTCTAGTCCTATATAATAAAGAGGTAATATGCAAATTGACCATCACTCCAACACACAAGATGGCTGCTCACATGTGGTCAATGATGGCCATCCCATGTGGACACAAGATGGTCACCCAAGATGGCAGCAGGGGAGGGCAGATGTAGATGATCAGGCCAGCAGGAGAGAGCAATTGGGGGGAGGGGAGTACCAGGCCTACAGGGGAGGGCAGTTGGAGGCAACCAAGCTGGCAGGGGAGGGCAGTTAGAGACAATCAGGCCAGCAGGGGAGGGCTGCTAGGGGTGACTGGGCTGGCAAGGTAGGGAAGTTAGGGGTTACTGGGCCAGCAAGGGAGGGCAATTAGGGGCGACGAGGCTGGCAAGAGAGGGCTGTTAGGGGTGACCGGGCCAGCAGGCAAGAGCAGTTGGGGATGACCAGGTCATCAGGGAAGGGCAGTTAGGGGCAATCGGGCTGGCAGGGGAGCAGTTAGGCATCAATCAGGCTGTCAGGGGAGTATTAGGGGTGATCAGGCTGGCAGGCAGAAGCAGTTAGGGCAATCAGGCAGGCAGAGAGGCGAGCAGTTGGGAGCTAACAGTCCTGGTGGGATTGGGCCTAAACAGGCAGTTGGACATCCCTCAAGGGGTCCCAGATTGGAGAGGGTGCAGGCTGGGCTGAGGGACACCCACCCAAGCACGATTTTCATGCACCAGACCTCTAGTAGATATGATTTTAATTGCCACATACAAATTAGAAAACAAAACTGAGGAAACTATCATAACTGAGGAAACTATTATAAATAACAGTCAAATATCAGTTGAGATAAATTAATAAATAACAAGGCTAATACTTACCATAGATTAAGTCTATTAATAGACCAGGTTATCCCAGCCAATAAAGATTTCTAATAGGGGTTGCCTATTACAATTCCTTCCTCAGTTCTATATTGGAAATCAGTCTTAAGATTCTTTCAAAGCAGTAAGAGTGTTCAACAGTGATTATTATCTTATATGAAGAGCTCTATTTACCTAAAAATGTCAATTCTCTTCTTTAAATCTGTCTTCCCAAAACTCTAGTCTTCTAGAAATGCTCCTCTCTAAAAATACACCTCTGATCCCTCGCTACCTATACCCTCTGATTCCTGCATTGCTCTAAAATTTATATCTACCTGTCTGATGTCATCAAGTAAATATAATATCTTAGAGAAGCAAGGAATAGATTTGAATTTTTGTAATCCTGTCACCGCTCCAACCTCCCTCATTTTCCTCCAGCTACCATAAGACCGTGCACTACTTATACTAAGCATTCAATGCTTAGTGACTGAGCCAACCAAAGCTCTCAGAGTTTATTGTGGCAGAGGCTCAGTTATCTCCCTATATATGTTTCCCCTCTTTCTCTACAGTGGTAGAACCCATGACTTATATTTTCACACGTGACTGCCTGAAATAAGAACTTTTATTTCCCAGGCTCTCTTGTAACAGGGTGTGGCCAAAGTCTAAATTCTGACCAATGGGATTTAAAGTTCTAGGCAACTGCTGGAAAGTTTCTTAAACAGGAACCATTTTTTCCATCCTGTTGACTAGAATGTGAAAAGGATGACTGTAGCCACAGCAGCCAAACTAAATCATTAAGTACAAATTCAGTGTTTAATGTGTAGTCACCAAATCTGGATTACCTGGATTTATAAGAAGAAAAAAAAAATCCATTTGAGTTTTTTGTCACTCACAGCCAAAACTTAATCCTAACTAATTCACCAACAATTACTGTTTCTAAGTTTAAGCACTACCTCAGCCATCCAAAATTCCTCTGTGTCGCTGTAAGTGTATATTAACATTCCTCTAAGTACCATAATCTGCACTCCCGATTTATAGTAGTAATAGTGAGCTTCTTGATTGACCTCGAAGTATAGACTAGGGAAGCGATTCTCCAACCTGGTTGGCATGCATCAAAATCATGTGGAAGGCTTATTAAAACACTGTTTGCTAGGAGGATAATTAGAATAAGTTTAAATGGCTCTTTCAAGAAGAGTAGTGAGGAGAAGGCAGGAAGGATTAAAAAGGTCAACTCCCTTCCATTATACATGCAACAGCACTGATGGTAGAGAAAGGCTGAGCTCATTAAAACATAAATAGAAAGAAAAAGTGAAAATAGGCTGAAATTACAAGAAACGGGTAGAAAAACTGACATGCAAAATCCATGAGAAGGAAAAAAGGAATGGAATAAAAGCACATGTGGAAAGACTTTTGCCAAAAAACAGGACACTTTTTCCACTGTCATATAAGGAGTGGTCGGAAACAGTGATGAGAACTGCAGTATAATAAGAAAACTAGAGGGTGCTCATATTCCATAATTAACAGAAAGAGAAATCATATGCTAAAAATGAGGAACTAAGAGAGGATTGAGGCCTTCAAAAGAAGAAAGAAATCTGAAAGAATTGCTTATATCTTCTCAAAGGTCTAAATAATATTCAGTTGTTAGTTAACAGTCATAATATATAAAAAATAATAAATGTGATATACTGCATTTTGCTATAATACATGCATAATGGCAACTACACTGATCAATATTCCAGAAAGCTGTATTTTACAAAAATGATTAAGCAAAATTGTAATGTTCTATAACCAAAGCCATACTTCCAATCCTGTGAATTTTCTCCTCCTTTACTATAAATACAAACTTAATTTTGTCCAATTTAACATCAATTTTGTCCAATTGATGGCTAACTCTGGTTAGCCAAATATTAGTTTTACAATATTTACTTTAATTACTCTTTATTCCTGATTCAAAATATGTTTTCTTAATTAATCTATACTTCACAAAGAAGTCTGATGTCACAAACACAGTATTTTCATCCAAACTTTCAAAATACAAAACATTACTATAATTGTGTTCAAGAATATAAAAATTCTAAAATCAAACCAGACTTTGATTCAAACAATATTACCCCTTTCTCTTGTAGGATGAAAGAAAATCCCCAAAACATTCCAAAATAGTATTTTCACCTTTCATTTTCATTTTCAATCCCCTACCAGCACTCCAAATACTCCAAATAAAATAGGCATAAAACAACCTAAAACACATTTTACTTTCAATCTAAAATTGAAATCTGCATGTTTTTCTTATCTAAATCCAAAGGAAAATGTAGTTCTAATTATAGTAAAAATAAATAATAACTTAAGATAACTCCCCTAAATCCTATTCCTCAGTTGGATATTTTATTCCAAACTAATTCAAGTGATTGACAATATAAAGTTTTTGAGTCAAAAACTTATTACATTCTATCAGAATAATGATGTATAAACTGTGCTGTCCAATATGGTAGCCACTAGTCATCTGTGGCTATTTAACTTAAATTTAAGTGAATTAAAGTTGAATAAAATTTAAATTCAGTTCCCCAGTCATACCAGCCACATTTCAACTGTTCAAAAGTCACATGTGGCTACTGGATATCTATTTATTGGACAACACACAAAACACACACACTCACATACCCCCCCCCAAAAAAAACACCAGAACATTTACATCATCACAGAAAGTTCTATTGCACCCAGTGGGTCTGTAACAATGGTAATCAGTGCATTAAAGACATCTTAGCAAAAAAAAGAAGAAGAAAAGACATCTTAGCAAGAGAAAACATGAATAACAAGCAACTCCGCTCTGCTCTCTTTTCAAAGGCCTGGAGATGTTAAGGTACAACTACATTTTTTTAAACCAGAAAAGCATGTTTTATTGAAACACTGAGAAACCCAATCTCAAAGGCCACCCCATCTCTTTTATGGACAAAGGTGACAGAAGTATGTACAGATCAGTATCATCTTTGTCAATACTTTCCTGTAGGTCTGTAATATCAAGGTGTTAGAAACTGATATTATACAAAATA